TGTCTGCTTCTGAGAAGCTAATGTATAAGTTATACAGTTATTTCTGCAAGAAAATTACAATACAATTACTGTTTAATCTTCACATCTTGTATTCTTGTCTATAATTTTGAGCACCAAATTATTGAAAAGTATCGAAAAAGACCCATACCGATAAGCAGTACCGGTATCGATAAAATCCTAACGATACCCATCCCTACTCACACATGTAGAAAATGTCCTCTTACCACACCAGACTGCTGTGTAACAATTTAGGGGTCATAACGTGCTCCCCATCTAATCTGTATAATTCCTCTGGATCAGAATTGAAGTGTTATCCGAGGAAATGTGCGTGTGAGAGAGCGTCCGTGTAATGTCTCCTAACACCAGCTCTGTGCTCCTGCAGCAGCCCGAGGAGATGGAGCCAGCGATGAGGCCGACGCGCTCTGCTGCCAAGTCAGCTGTGGGGAAGATGAAGGTGAGTCAGGGGTCATTGAAAACCTGGAAAAGTCGTGGAAATTCTAAATGCTAATTCCAGGCCCTGGAAAAGTTTTGGAAAACAATATTTTTCCCAAAGTTTTGGAAAGGTACCTAAAGTTGCATCAAATAGAATTTATATTTTATCTAATCACCGAAATAGTAATACTATAATGATAATAAATACTGTATGGTATAGTAATGAAATAAAATGGCATTTTAACTGACGAGGTGTTTTGCTGGTGAGAGATTTTAGTTGCTTTAGCGTGTAGGAGCTAGTAAGCCTACTATTGGATTTGTTTTAGATCGGCACAACATGTTTCATATGCAGACCTTATTTTCCTGTTCCATGTTAAAATAAACCATTTTCAGTGGTACGCTGAGAAAGAGTAATGTTTTTGGTCATGGAAAATGAGGTAACGGTCATGGAAAAAGTGTATGAACCCTGGTGAGTGGGCGGAGTCTGATTTCACTTCTCACCGCTCCTCCGAGGGGGCAGATGGGTCTTCCACGGGAGCTCAGAGCTGCACAAACTCACTTCAACTTTCTCTGAGTTGTGTGTGTGTTTTTATGCCCCCGTGTCCATTTACAGAGCCTTGCTGTGTGTGTCTCTTCTGACAGCTCTGTAGATTTTCAAACTCCAAGTCAAGATTGTGTTTGGGTCTTAATGTGTTCTTTTTATTCGGGTTTGCCAAAAGACTCTCAGTTCTGCCATTTAATGCTGCAGAATGTGGGCAGGGATTAAATTAAAGCCGAGTGGGAACACCCTGGGATCTACTGTAGCACAAGGTGTCATTCTGCAGGCATCTCTGTAATCTCAGGGCCAATCAACACATTCATATCCTCTCGAAATAAATGTACACCGTTTCTCTAACAGGGCGTAAACAGAGGAATATGAGGGATGTCTAAAATGCATGATCTGTTTGGTATTTTGAGCAAAACACATCAAAGACATGTTTTTCATATATTTGTATATGAAAGAGAGCCATAATATATGCCTAAAAATAGCATAATAGGAGATCTTTAAGGCCTTGGCTAGAATAAGTATACATTTAAACACAATAATACTGTGTTACAGAAGAGGAATACCATACATTTGCCCCAATAAAAAATGTTCTGGTACCTAATGAGATGACATGTCAGGCCCTCATCCCCCCCCCCC